TTCGTTAATTTACATGTGTTTAATACGCCCCTCAAAACTGTAAATTTTCTTTTCTTTTTTTGCTTGGAAGTAAAGTCTGATCATCCGCAGTCCTTTAATAGGGCTGTGGTAAAAAAAATGTTGTGCATGGAACCTTAAAATGGTTTGTTTCTGTTTAAATTAAGTCCACAGATGATAGTTCTGATTCAATAAATAGGGGAATGTTAATCTCTCATGTACTATGTAAACGTAGTTCCACAGGTAAGACAAGGCTTAAAATACTTATCATCATTTGTATAAATATATGCTAGAAGATGTACTAAGAGAGTATAAATGTCCAAAAGTTACTTATAGCGATAGCAAAGAAATCCTCATTACTTAGATCTAGTAGTCAATCCTGAAGTGACACAACGCATAAAAGAAAGAAACCATCAATGACCTGCGAGATCAAATTAATAATTCATTGTATTTTGCGGAATCTTATTAACCTTCGTAATTTAGATGAGATCCAAACAAATGGGGTACAAAAATGATCACCTTCAACGAGCCAACAAAATTACATACAAGAATTTCTAATTCCAAAAACACTAAGAGATTCACCGAAATATTTTTAAAGTGCAACCATATCACCATAAAGAAAGAGGAATTTGGAAGCATTGACTTTTGAAACAAGCTTGCAAACTCATTTTATTGAAAATTCTATACTTGTCTTGTTCTGATTTGAGTTGCTGACTCCCCATTGATAAATATAAATTAACCTGTCCTCTCCATTGTTAGCAAGCTGCGCTGGATTGAAAAGATCAAGCCCACAGAAATACCTGAGTACATGCTATCAAGCAGATCGCATAATGCCCTTCTGAACACAAACATGAACAAGTGTTCAGCTGAATTTAAATTTGGACGAAAGACCCTTGAATGGGACTCCAGGAGAAAGAAAGTTTAAATGCCAGCACACGGGGATGTTTCATTGTGAATATGACAGGGAAATGAAACATAGAATACAAATTATTTCGTCAGTAGCATGAGGATATACGGTGACTTTTAAAACGTTTAGAAGCCTTTAGGGAGCTAAATGCATATGACAGCATTTTCAGCGCAACGAATGGCATAATTTCTGAATGTCATATTTATAATATCCATCGTTATCACAGGTCAATTTTTGGCGTCTTTTGCTAATTTCACCGACGGAATTGTAAAAATTTTAGAAATGTCCATCCGATGCTCAGCGGTGATAAATTTAAGCATTTAGAAATTTTTAAATATTTTGATTTTATTTCGATAACAAATTCATCCAAGGATATTTGTATTGTTTGATGGATTGATTGATCCTTTCTTTTACGGCTTTTACATCATTAGTGAATTTTTTAATTATTTAAAATTCTTACGCTACAAGGGTTTTCCAAGCAATCTCCCATCTAAATATACACCAACCTCGACGCTGCTTAAATTCAGGGACGAAAAGTATCCAGTGGATATTTGTGTTGGATTCTACAGTCTTTATACACCACAACAGGTTTTATTATAGAAAATTCTTTATAATAAAATTTGTATTAGCAAGACAATGTTGATTGAATTTAAAAAAATAAGCAAAAGAATTTCACTCATTAAAAAATTTCAAGAGTATTTCTTATGTTATTGTATTTTAACCGATTCTAAATTTGTAAATAGTTTTAAATCAATTTTAAGGAATATAATGGAGTTTTGTTTATTAAGTTTTATTTTTTGTGTACAGTCAAAACATACGTCATGTTTATGGACGATTATTTTCATCTTGTGAATACATCCATTTAAAGTTAACTGACCTGTAATGATGTTAAGAATCAGGCTAAACGATAAAAAATGTGACAGTAGAGGTGAGATTAAGCCCCCCCCCAAAAAAAAAATTGCAAATAAATTCAAAACGGCAAATATTTGGAGTAAGACATCAAAGCATACTTAGGAAAAAAAGGATTAAATTTAGGAACGTTAGATTACCTCTTCGGTTTTGAAACTGTTAACCACCAAAAAAAAAAAAAAATAAAGCTGTCCCCACGTTGAACCATTTAAAATATAGTTCGCTCGGCGGATAGATTGTTACAAACATCAAATCGGGTGTGATGAAAACGTGGTCTTTCTTCGTGTAATTCATTAAAAAGGCTAGAGTAGCTGTTATTGCAAAGTGAGGTCAGGGATTGATCTTAACCTGATTTGTTCGACTTGGTGATAGGGAGTATCATGTTGAAAGACCCGCAACTCCCTGATGGACCAAGTCAAATTACATCACTGAAGACCTCCTTTGGCGCCTACTTAAGAGCGTATTTTTTTAAAATTATAATTGAATTATAATAAAATTAGTATTAGCAAAAAGTTGGTTGATGGAATTAAAAAAAATACGCAAAAGAATTTCAGCAATTAAAACCCTATCCTTTTTACGAATATTAATGATATTTTTTGGCTGTGGGGGGTTACACAAGCTAACATACTTCGGAAATATATTTTTAAACTCATAACTGTATCTAATTAAATATAAGGAAATATAAAATATACACACACACACACACACACACACACACACACACACACACACACACATATATATATATATATATATATATATATATATATATATATATATATATATATATATATATATAATACATCTTACAATTGAATAAAGTATTTATTTATGTTTGGCTTAATCTGCACTATCCTATGACATCCATCATCCTTTTACTCATTTTTTTATTAACATTTTAAAAACTAATCTTCCTCTAACACAAGGTCTAAAAGTGTTACTGTGTGTTGTAGTATGAACATAAAAAGTTTAAGAAATTAAGACTTTGGCGCTATGCAGAATAGATAGCGGTTAACCCTAGACATGAAAAGGTAAACATCCTTTGTCACTGGACTCACTGATGTCGCAACGTTTTTCAGGAGACGATACCTAGTAATTCTGGACACTGTTGCTTCTCCATTGCTCCTCAAAAGCGTTCCATTGTTCAGGCCTGGCTTAGATACAGCTTCACTTTTTATTCGTGACAAAGAACCGCGGGAAACAAGCCTCGATTGACTCATATCGGCCATCTTACATACCTTAGTAGGAGCTACAACAAATATTTTCATAGTTTCATATCTTCCAATTATTTTGGATACTTCCAATGTAGATTTTCCTTTGGAAAGTTCAGATGAACTTTCTCCAAAAAGGTCAAGTCATATTTGAGACCCATAATTGCTCGATTATAATGGCACTCGTTTATAGACTGCAACACTTCTGTATGTTGTTAATATTGCAAATGGCCACCATTTGTATCTTCTTTTGCAGAACAATGCAGTTTTTTTTATACAGCCTTCGTATATACCTATTCCTTTATACTGTAACTTTCGTTAAATAACGACTGGTAGTTTTTGGAGAAAGTAAAAAAAAAGTCACCTCGTTAATAATTTGAAACGCAGTGTATATGCCTTTTATCAGACCGTAAAACAATTTCGTAAGTTATATATGAACTATCCTTGAGTTGCGTAGAGAATATCTCAGTAACAGTAAGTAATTTTCTTTCGTGGAAATTTTATAACATGAATAATATACGAATATACGTAGCGAGACACTATAAAATAGAAACTATTCTACGGATAATGGGTTTCATTTGCAATCACAGAACACGAATATTACCACAATTAATTTATGACTTTGGCATAATGATATGATAATTGCAATAAATAGAAAGAAATAAGTATTGATAAAATGTTTACGAAAATTATATTATATAAAATATTCATATATATTTATCTAAAACTATTAACCCATAGTAACAAACAAAATAATTGCATAGTAGTGATTAGAAAGGCATATGACTGCCGGGAGGGTTTTTTTTTTTTTTTTTTTGTAAATAAACAGGGAAATACGCTGCAACGCGAGGTGGGACCGGTGTTCCCACGATTATGGATCAGGTAGTAGTATTCAAATATCGCCTTTGGATTGGTCATTATTTTCCAATTATGTTGATTGATGACTAATAGAAGAATATAAAATTAGAGCGTCTCGAAAATAACACGGAGAAATGAGATGAAAGAAATCATCCCCTTAATGCATTAGTGTAAAAAACTTGAATCGCTAAAAGTAATATTTTCTACAATATGGCGTCTGGTAGACATTTTTGGGAGATCTGCTATAACCGTAATAATTTGAAAACCACTACCCTATTACTCCTTTATTTTAATTCCATTCTAAAACCTAACATAAAATATAAAATATTCAATTCATAGAGTAAAAATACATAAACATGTTCAGGTATAGAGGCTATAAATTTTTTGAAAATTGTTATATTACAATAACAATTATATAATTCGTAGCTGTACAATCTTTCTTCATTTGACTATTATCCTCTTTCTTGGTATTTGATCTAACCATGGATATAAAACTAGATTTCCTTCAAAATCTTGAATAAGGTTATATAATTTTCTGCATCATCGCGTAACAAACGAAAAGTATGATTTTATGAACGTGAGTAATTAGAAGCAAAACGAAACTGTACAAAATGATATGACAGTATTAAGGAAACCTTTCCAAAACTTAGTAGAGATAAATATAACAGTCTGTAGCTTCGATATATCGACTGAAATAATATTATCAAATAGAAAACAATATTAAAAAAAAAAACTAACAATAATATGCATTTGAATAAGTGAAAACGTCAATAATTTTTAAGCTTATTATACGAGTCCAAAAAATTTAATTATCCACAAAATATTTTAACAGAGGAATGAAAATGCGATACTAAAATACGAAGAGGAATTATTGTAATTCAAGATGACTTCCAAAAGATTTGCAAAGTAACAGGAAAATTCTATTAGAAACAAAGAAAATTTTACTGAACTGTTATGTAATATCAGTCCTTGTATATGATAGTGAAGGATGGACAATCGCCTCACAGAGGAATAAGAACAAGGAGGGAATATAATCCTGGTTCTATAGAAGAATAGAACACGTGAACACGTGAGTAAAGACTAAGTTTTAGTGAAAGAAAGAAGCAGCAATTACTATTATACTTAACAACAGAAAGAGATTTGAAATTTCTAGGGTACATAATGTGGAAATTTAGGTTTGTGATATTTGGCATTCATAGTGAGGGCAGGATGAACAGAAGAAAGCAACGTATAAGGTAACTAATGAAATTGTGTAAAAGATTGGCAAAAAAAAAGGATTAGGACGTATAGCAAAGAGTCATAGTTTACTAAGAGATAAAATTGACAGTAAATTATGGAGAGCTATGATTACATATGTCCTGAAATTTAAATGTGATACTGCGCATAGAAGACAAAACGTAAGCAGTTATTAGATTTCTCGTAATGCTTATAGCATTTTCTCCTTCAGAGTCTAAAGAGACAGCGAATTGTATAATGTGATGCCATACCTTTTTTAATAATGCGGGAACAGGTGAATTTGAAGACGCCATTTACACAGATCTCGATTTTAACGAATGCAAACTATCATGAATTCAGAGTAACGATCCTGCAAGAGACATTTCTTAAAGAGTTCGCAACAGTTAAAATATATTTCCTGATTCCTTGTTTCCATTTCATGAATACATAATCTCCATTCAGTTGGTGTCATATATTTTACAGACTAATCCCGGCAGTTTCATTCGGTCCATGGCGAGTTCATCTTTTCTTTGTGTCTGTCATGAGGAAAGAATCGCATAGTATTCGATAGATGTGATAGTTTCATTATTTTAGAGATCATATTTTATAAAAAAAAGAAGAAAAAAACAGCGGCTTTGTGTAAAGTCCAATGCGTTTCACCAATCAATCGATTTGTCACTGTTGGTATAACCGGCACCATATTTAAACAGGTTATTTTGCAAATGGGTATTAATACATTCATAAATGCATATGGTTTTTGAGTGAGGTCATGATGTCGACATTACAAGAATTTTGTTTAGCAAATAGCGAAAACAAAAAGATAAAGTAAAAAGTATGACAGTAATGGAATTTCGAAACCTCGGAGGTACGTGAGCGGAAGTGGATGATAGGTGCAAACAGAAGTATAAATGGAGGACGTGAAATGGGCGAAAGGAAAATAGCATAATTAGAAGAAATGGTAGAACGGCCATAGTGAAGAGTAAAAGTAGATGGAAACAAGTAAAAAGGGAAAAGTGAAATATTGGAGAGGTAAGCGAGGCAATTTGGTGTAGGATGAGGAAGAGTGAAGAGAAGAAATAATAAAATCATGAGGAAAACAGAATAAGATTAGTGGCAGTAAAGAGAGAAGAAAGAATAGTAAAGAAGACAATGAACTTAAGGGACAGGAAGAGAAGGACATTGAATAAAATAAAGAAAGTAGACGAGAAGATCTTGAAGGATGTTATAAAAAGGGGGAAAAGATATCGTAGAAAGCAGGGAATTGTGGATGAAAAACAGGGGAATATTACAGAGGTAGGATGAAGATCTGTTGATAAACAGGGAAAGGAAAAAAAAATCTTAATATGAAATAGTAAGGAAGACAACGCAGAAATAATATTTTGAATGCTAGACGGACATGCATATAGGTAAAGGGAGACAACTATTATTGCTTGAAGAAAGATTCTTTAGAAGACGAGTGGAACATGAAGATAAAGATAATTATATTAATGAGGTAGTTAATAACACTATAGGAGAAGACGATGAAGGAAGTCAAATAGAGAAACAAATTATTCCGGGAGAAATTCATAAGCAAAATCTAAGTAGACAGATAGTGGCAAATAAGTAAAAATAAAATTGAACTAAATTGAGAAATATAAAGCCAATAAAATTACTGAGGATATTAATCAAGTGAATTTAGATTGGTCAACTACAATGACAGAATAATTCGGTATATGGGGAAGACAGAAAATATAATTGTACTCATAGTCAAATATCAGGCTTGCAAACAATGTAGTGCTGGCATTTAGCTATGTAATTACTCAACTAGTTTAATTTGGCAAATAATGAAGATGCAAACAGAACAAACAATATCTAATTTACTGCAACTGTGATATTATACATGACAAGGGAGGTAGAATCCAATGTAGTGTTGCACACGCACATATACACACACACATATATAGTTACAGGTGAGAGAGGGTGAAAGTATGAGGAAATAGGGAATTGCACGTTTGAGAAAAAGTATTCTTATTGGTGATGATGATGATGATGATGATGGGGGTAGATAATGAATTGTTACACATGGGGGAGAGATATAAAAGGCTAATAATAATAATAATAATAATAATAATAATAATAATAAGAAGAAGAAGAAGAAGAAGAAGAAGAAGAAGAAACCTCGACGACGACGATGATGATGATTATGATGGCGAGTTTATGAGAATGTGATAAAAACAAGCAAACGAAGAATTATGCAAAGGAAGATTGCGAGAAGAAGAAGAAAAAGATGATGATGATGATGATGAGGAGGAGGATTACGATGGCGAGTTTATGAGGATGTGATGAAAATAAGCAAACGAAGTATTATTGAAAGGAAGATTGCAAGAAGAAGAAGAAGAAGAAGAATATGATGATGATGGTGATGGTGTTGGTGGTGGTGGTGGTGGTGGTGGTGATGATAATGATGACTAAGACCACGACATGTTATAAAAATGTGAACAATTCGTTATGCAAAGGGTGGGGTGGGGGTGAGGAGAAGAAGAACAAGAAGAATGAAATTTAGATAGATAGATAGATAGATAGATAGATAGATAGATAGATAGATCGAATAGTATTATGAGCAAATGAAAACTTTAGGGACAAATGTTAAAGAACAAAACAGTGTAATCATTTAATAAAGAAGACAAAAGAAAAGAATTGTGAATATATTGATAAATTAAAGTAAAGGTGGGGAAAATAATATATTCGTCTTGATAGAAAGTTTTTACTGGTGATAAAAATGATGAGATATAACGTAATTAAGAAAAAAAAACAGTATTAAAATCTAAACTGAATCAAAAACAAATGCAATAACATATTTAACGAAGCAAGAAAAAGCAAAATGAATCTGACGGATTAAAAACAAAAACTACATCTGGAATGAGAACCTCAAGATTTCTCTACAATCTTCATTTTTATGGCTATCAGTGGGGAACAGCGTGATTTGTTAGAGCGAAACTGAAACTGAAAATAAAGGAAGATATCACGTGAAAATGAAATGGAATAGGCAGTGGAGAAGATGAGAAAAAGAAATGAATGAAAAAAAGTAGACAGAGGAAAATAGGAGGAGAAGAAAAGTTGAGAAGAAAGAAGAGAAAAAAAGAAGGAAATGGAGAATAAATTGAAGCAATTAATAAAGAGAAACTTTAACGAATTTAGCAAAGAAAGATATAGGAGAAAGAGTGGAATAAAATTAAAAACAAAATACTGCAGAATAAAATGTGTTAACAGTACATGTGAAGTGAGGAATAATTACTGTTGAGGGGTCCTCCCCTTTTTACACAAATGGACTCACCCAGTATATACATATACTACTGCTACGTGAAAACCCGAGAGACAAGAGCAACAGAGGGTGAAGGTAACAGACAGACAGAAAGGACGAAGCGAGCAAGAGTCCCGTGAGCAAGAACGTAGACTCAGTAAGAAGTCATACAGCGATACTTCAATACCAAAGAGTGTATAGATATTTTGCTACTAACCCGTATTCTTGGAACTACTAACCTGCATTACCAGTTTGTATTATTACGTTAATACATTATTTTCCTATATTCATTCTTGACGTTTGTTATTTATTGGTACAGAATTTCATTCCGGAATGCAATACTATTACTTAGGAGAATTAGAAACAAAGAAAGAATGAATGAAGTAAAGCGAAATATGAATAAGATAGTGGAAATTGAAAAATGTATGACATGACAAAAAGACCGTAGGAAGTTAAAGTAAGTAAACTCGATAAGAAGAGGGAAAAAAAACTATGTTATAAAATAGGAGTGAGAAAATGCAAAAGAGAAAATGCAAAAATTAAAATTATGCAAAAATGGAGGGGAAAGAGAGGAAGAGAAAACGGAAAAAAAAAGTTAGATAAGACAAAATAGAAATTAAATAACAAAGTGGAATTGCTTCGTAGATGAGAAATTTGAGAAGTGGAAAGTGACGCAAAAGATAAAAAAAAATACATTGGGGAAGAGATTAGAACGCAAAAGAAAGTGAGGAAAGAAAAAAAAGGTTAAGTCTTATAGAGTGAAATGAGAGACACGACAAATGTGGAAAAGAGTGGGAGGAATGATTGAGTTGGACGACATATAGGGAAAAGAGGAATGCGATTGCAGAGAGAGTGGAAATTAATGTCATTGTTAATATGTCGCATGATGTTTTGCATATAATCCTCTATATAGTAATAAAAATACGTAAATATAAATAAGAAATAAAATGGTAGTGAACAAATAAGGAATGAATTTCAAATTTGGTAGCACATGTCCAAGTAAATTCAAAAGAAAAAAATAAAGAATTAAAGGAAGAAAGGAACTGAAAGAACGAAAGAATAAAAGAAGGAACAGAGAAATGGATGATTACAAAATAAAACATGACAAACTGTAAAAATAAAGAATAGATTAATTAATGAATGAATTGAAAGTTTCACCAATGATGACGCATTGAATATGTAGCGCAAAAGAAAAAAAGAACGATTTTCGAATTTGGAAGTATTAGACAACAGAAATTATAAATAAAGAAGAAATAAAGAAAGAAAGAAAGAAAAAAGAAAGAAGGAAAGAAAGACAGAAAGAAAGAAAGAAAGAAAGAAAGAAAGAAAGAAAGAAAGACAGAAAGACAGACAGACAGACAGACAGACAGAAAAACGATGTTCGAATTTGGGAGTATTAAACCACATAAGTTAGAAATAATTAAACGGTTTTAAATCTGGAAGTATTAAACCACATAAATTAGCATGAAAGAAATAAAGAAAGAAAGAAAGAAAGAGAGAAAAAGAAAAACAGGTAGAATGATGTCCGAAGCTGGAAGTATTAAACCATATAAATCAGAAATAAATAAATAAGTAAAGAAAGAAAGAAAAAACAGGAAAGAATACGCTAAAACGAATAAGATAGAAAAACCGGAAATATAAAAAGTGAAAGCAAAATAAAATTAAAAAAGAACAAACAAAAACAAACCCAAAATTATACAATCATACAAATAATTTTATTTTTTGCAATAAATTTGAAAAGGAAATAGGACAAAAATGAAAAGCATTTCTGTAAACTAAAAACACGTATGAAGAAAATGTGATATCTATAGAAATAAAGTTACAATTGAAAAACAATATTTTTTCAAATGGGACTGAAAAATTGTCGAACAACAATTCTGGAAAGAAATGTATAAACAATAGCAAAACTATTTCCATTATCTTTAAAATTATTCTTAGCATGATGACCTGGAACCGAAAGCATTTGAGAATAAAGATTAAATAAATAAAAGACTCAGCAGAGTAACACCATTAACTCTACCCGTATTAAATTGGTACACAGAAAAGAATAATAATAATAATAATATTTATTATTATTATTATTATTATTGTTATTATTATTATTATTGTTATTGTTTTTATTGTTGCTGTTGTTGTTGTTGTTGTTGAATCTCAGATACGTTCTCGTCATCCCCATCATGTTAAAAAAAAAAGAAATAAAAACGAAAATGGTTAAAATTGGCGTAGTTATCTCGGACAGACAATGGACAGGCCAAAAGCAATCCATTTATTGGCGAGGCTATTTTAAGTTCGACCACACAGAAAGGAAGTCGCCGTGTCAGAAGGTGACAGCTCGTTTACAGAGGAGTTAACAAGAAAATCTGCCGGGTTAAAACATTCGTTTCAATGGAGATTACTTCTTAGCACCAACCAATTTATACACACTAATCACTTAAACCCAGACATGCTGTAGCAGCGACTCTACATTAAGTGGGATGTGAAAAGAAAGCAGGAATTAAATCCCGGAAAATTAAAAATTACTAAAAGCAATGTGTCTATAAGTAAATAAATACTATAAGTAGAAGTTATTTCTTAGAAATGAAATGGAAGAGAGGTTATGGAAACTATATATCAGCGTAATAAGATGTATTCGTTAGGAATATCTTCATAATAATTTATGAAGGAGTGTATCAGTCTCTCTCCTTCGCCACCTCTCTCTCCCTCTCTCTCTCTCTCTCTCTATATATATATATATATATATATATATATATATATATATATATAGAGAGAGAGAGAGAGAGAGATAGATAGATAGATAGATAGATAGATAGATAGTGCGATGCGTAAATTGTTGCCAAATTATATTTTAAATATCGGACATGCGCGTTGTTTGATCTTGATTTGGTTGCCGGAAGAGTACTGCTTGGCATTCGCACCGTAAGGTCCAATACGAACATTTCCAAGTTCTGGCAATCAATCTGAGGAGAGTAAATGTTTGTCCAAACATGTAAGAAACAAGAGTGAGGACAAAAATCTTTGATATGTTTGCCCGTTTATTGGGCCTTTTCCATTTTTATATGTATGTTGTCTGGTTATCAAGTCTCTTATGGTAGAAATAAGAATAGTTGTTTGATATCATATTTACTCAACACTACCCCAGTTGCAATCCTTACCCCAGCCCTCCAGCCGAGGAGTTAAGACGGCCGCTTTCTTTGATTTTCACCGATTTTAAATCGGGATGAATTAAATTTTGCCTTTTTCAATTGTTAAAAAAACCTCATATTATACGGATTTAATTATTTAAAATGGGCATTTTTAAACAATAACATTGACATAAAAAAAAGTTTTCTTTGAAATCCAAGACATCCAAGTTATTAGATAATTTCAAAATATTATTTATAAAGTTGAAACAATAAAAATACCTGTTAAGTATGTATCCGAATCTATAGTTCTCAGATCTACGCAGTCCGACTAGCCACACTAATTTTATTTGATTCCATTTCGCTTAATTGACTTCCTTGTTTCTTTTTTTTATTATTATGAACCATATCAATAAAATTTATTTCGGTCAACATTTTGAGGCATGGAGTTAAAATAATTAATTTTGGATCCAGTTGAAATCAAGAATAAAAATGACGCATTTTTAATAAGGAAGTGATACTAACAATGCGAAAGGGTCAGCTGTAATGATTGGGATAAATAAGGAAAAAAGGTCCTTTTTTATTGTCAGATGGAGCTAAGTCTGGAGATTAAGGTGGATAGGGTAACAATTTAAATGCCCAGTTGGTGGCTTCAGCTATTGCAATCTGAGCAGTGTGTACAGGTGTGTTATCCTGGAGCAAGAGTACACCTGCCCTCAGCTTCCCTCTTCATTTTGACTTGATTGATTCCTTCAGTTGCCTTAAGTCTGATGCATAGTGCTGTCCATTTAATAGCGTTTTCTATTTTACAAGTTGTCTATCTTCATTACACCTTCAGAATAAAAAAACAAGAAGCCATCACCTTAACAACAAACGTTGCTGTTTGCTTTGAATCTTTGATTCAGGTTTGAATTAGTGAACCCAGATTTCATCTTCAGGTTCTAATCTATGGTGGAAATACTCAAGGTTAACCTGAAGTGAGTCAGAAGTTTGAAGCTTCTGCTCTGGTGTCAGTATTCCTGGGACTCATCTTGCAGACAGCTTGCTCATCCCCAAGATCTCAATTATACAGCGGTGTATATATATATATATATATATATATATATATATATATATATATATATATATATATATATATATAAAGGCAGTAATTTTTCATCAATGCATTTTTCATTAAATAAATTAGACAGGTTTTGTCTATTTAATTTAAGTAAGTTCCTTTCATATTGTCTGACAAGCTTAATAACCTTATCATTGAAAGACGAAAGGAAATCACCATATTGATACATGTTTAAATCCAATCTAAGCTTTCTGCTTACATAAGCCATTATCAAAGATGACAATTACTTATCAATATATCAACCACTACACGAACGAAACAATAATGATAGTCTGTTTTTGTTGCATAAAAAATTTCAAAGCAACGATTAACTCGTGTATACGAGACGCGGAAGCGAAAATCGCGTCGCGGATCGGGACGTCACACATGACCACACGAGAGTGTAAACGAGAAGTATTAAGTAAGCTTATCAGAAAATATGAATGAACTTACTTAAAGTAAATAGACAAACATGAAACATGCATTAATATATATATATATATATATATATATATATATATATATATATATATATATATATTTAATTGTGTCTGTGTGCGCGCTTAAGTGTGAATTTTTTTATCCTACATTATTTATTTATTATTACTATTTTAGCCCTACATTATTACTTATTACTTAGGTTGTTTTTTTTCTGGGTACACGTATTTGAGTAGCGATCTCTACTAATTCCAACTGATCAAAAATTGTGCCACTGATAGGAATTGAACATATTTCTTATTACTATTTGTATATCAACATTCCTTCAATAGGTTGTTTAAAATTTTCTTGTAACCGTGCTTTCTAAACTGGTAGTGAGACATTTCTTTTATAGTGATTTTCCAAGCGTAGCTCAGATGTGGCACAAGGTTGAAAGTATGGGGTACCCAGTGAGGATCGCAATAGTTCTGATCGAGACAAGCTTGCCAACCATTACACCACCTAGAGGTACCCAGTGGTACCCAAAGACATTTCTTGTATAGAAACGTTCTTTCTGGTAGAATGAAAAAACACAGTTTTTGTTATTATCGAAAATACAATTTTCTTTAATAAGATTTCTCAGGCTATCATGGATGTTATTAATTTCATTGTTTAAAAAAAAAAGAAATAACATCGATAACAATTCAAACATGTAAACCCAGAATAATAACGCTTCTATTAGTAAGAAGAGAGTGCATTTAAAATATATTGTTACAGTATTACATCAAAACGCTAAAGATACGGAAGAGCTAAAGTTTAAATGTTGTTTCTTTTTTAAAATGTTGGACGTCCCCTGTTAAAAGATGCATAAATTAGTAGGCAACCAGATTTCTCTTTATGTCTTATTTATTTGTAATTTCATTTTCTGGTTGATATTACTGTTTTCTTCACTCGATCTAATACTGTATCTATCACCCTTATGTTATCCAATTAACTACAAATTATTACTTCACATATTACTAAAAATCTAATATTAAGAACCAAATCAGACGAGTAAGGGATATTTTGCGGGGAAGTTTCCCCAATGAGTACATATTTCCCAAATATTTGATGCGAATTCAAATATTTGATTCCGTACGAGAATTCACAGCCTAAACATTAGAAGAATAAAGTACAGGAAATCCCCTATGAGTATAAAATTAATAGAACCATATCCAAAATAAAAGTGAAAAGCGAATACGCACATAGGAACACACATAAGAAATTAATTTATTTAACCATATAAGTGCCAAGCTCATTTCAGGTCTCATATTATATGACTCGTATTTTCATTATTATTTAATAGTTTAATTCAGTACAGAACACAGATAGTGAGAGTTATAATACGGTTCGAGGAGATTGTGATGGTTTAAAAGTACAGACATAAGTTTTCAAAAGCAGTGTAGAAATAAACAAGTCTCATCTGTTATTCTGGATTGGTAACGTGCAAAAAAAAAAAAAGAAAAAAATGGTCTGAAAAAGTTTCTTAGATACTGTCTTCATATTTTCTAGGATTGTCACATTGCTGTAAAAGAATGTTAATTGATTAAATACGGCCTATCACGTATCTCAGATTGCATATTCGGTCAAATAATATTTATGTGTTTTCCGAAGACGAAAGCTTTTATTCTTGCCCATAACTAATGCTAAGCCAATGAAAATGCATTTCAGCATCCTGTTACCTTTTTTCTCTCAATGTCAATTTTTGTGCAAATCTATGCAAAAAGTGGATG